CCCCCCCTCCCCCATATTTTATTAAAAGTGGGACATTCAGGGCCGGTGCTAGACTATTTTGTGCCCTAGGCAAGACCAGCTACTTGAACTCCCCTTTCCTTGGCGCAACCCCCAATTCCCCCGCCTGCGCAGCCCCATTCTCCTGCGGGTTAGCTTTTACAGGCAGATGTAATTTAATTTGAAATAGCCAATAGCAATAACTGGCTATTGAAACCCCACCCACTGAGCAGAGGGGCAAACCTGAGAGAGAGAGAGCATTGTCTCTCAGTTACGCTCCTCTGCTCAGTGGGCGGGTGCAATAGCCAGCCTGCTATCGGCTTTTGCAATTTGAAATAGATGGTAGGCGCCGCGTGTGGGGAATAGTCAAGGCTGCGCCCTAGTCAGCAGTGCGTCCCAGGCGGCTGCCTAGTGGCAGCACCGGCCCTGGGGACATCCTCTGGTCTTGTAAGTTATTTCTGTAAAGAGATAGCACTTTGTTAACCATGAACTGATATCTAAGGCCCCTGTGGATGGCTTGTTCACCTGAGAGTCCGCACAGTCCACCATAGACCCCACATAGCCACCTGAGATTCTCTGCTGAAGCTATTACGCAGGCACCCCAGAGCAACACAGAGTATGTAGCTCCATATTACTCTACATTGATGTATAATGCATTGCTGGGATTTGTTGTCCTCTATAGCCGGTTGCCATTCAGCATTGCTATATAATGTATCATTGGATTCGTAGTCCTCTCTAGCTGATGGTATTATTCTGCATTGCTGTATATTGTGTTGCTGGGATTTGTAGTCCTCTATAGCTGTTAATATTCTGCATTGTTGGATAATGTAGTGCTGAGATTTGTAGGTCCTCTACAGCTTGGAGTCAGTGGCAGAACTACCAGGGGCGCAGCATTTCCGGGCACTTTACCACTATCCTAAAATCATTAGTCTGTATTGTTTTAGAAAATCTGTCACATGACACACAAAAAATTATCGGTAATTGGTAATAGGTTGGACTTCATGGACTTATGTCTTTATTCAACCTCAAATACTATGTATCGGCGAGTACTTGAGTGAAAGTATCAGTACTCGTTCACGGTCTGGAAAAAAAGGTATTGGTGCATCCCTACAGTAGAAATTTCAAATGCTGTCACCTGGGACTGGTCATAGGGAGATTTGACCAAGCTGAAATTCACACAAGACTTTGTATGTTCCAACAGGGGGTCCCGGCGGGGAGCAACTGGAAATTAAGTAAAGGCTGTTTACTTAGGCAATCATTTTTTTTTTTTTAAAGTTGAATTCTCTGTTAAAGGAGAACTATGGGGTCAGGGCTTTTCCCCATAGTTCTCTTAAGGGTCACGGGAGAACACAAACTAGTGTTCTCCCGTGACCCATAGCTCAGTATACCGCGAGCTACAGCTCACGGTATACTGAGACGCCGCAGCCGGGACGGATCCCGACAATACTGTCCGGATCCACCCAGCTGCGGGATTGACAGCTGGGTCTGCCTATCCAGAGGCAGAGCCAGCTGTGCCCGCCCCCTCCCCCGCCCGTTTCGCCAGTCAGCGCTGGAGGATCGGACAGGGGAGGGGGGAATCCCTGCAGGGAGCCGTGAGGGACAGTCATGGCTCTCTGCAGGGATAGATCGAGAAGTGAGCGAGTGACGGTATGTGTTTGTCACAGGTCGGCTCAGATTATGGGGCTGAGTGAAAATCACTCGCCTCATAATTCTCCTTTTTAATGTCAGGCAAGCTGAAAGGAAGTCATGTTGCACAAACTGATACTGATTTTGTTGGCTATATATTTTAAACAGACATTATTTGCCTTGTTAACCCATATCCGCTTTTGGTTTTGTCAGTTTGCCAATTGAAGTTGACTTGTGCACTACCACAAAAGCAGGCATTTACAATATCACTGTTCTATTTCAGCTAAAGATGCTTTTGAGAAGAATGTGTCACCGATTATGATAGACAATACCAACTTACAAGGATGGGAAATGAAGCCATATGTCTCTATGGTCAGAAGAGTTTAACATTGTACATACCAGAATATATTTGTGTTATCCAGAATGTTTGTTTAAAAAACCTTTTAAATAGATTTGCAGGGATTTGTATGTTTATTGTTATTCCTCGCCCTGATTTTTGTTCTTTGTTCATATTTTTCCATTTGTTTTTATTGTTCATAGTTCTATAAGTACTCATAATCTAAAAGTTGTAGTTTAAGAATTAGCAATAATGACAACGAGTTTAGGCTATCTTTACTCAGTTCAGTATTTATAAGTGATACATCCAACTCAGGCTTGCCTTGTGACATTTGTGCAGTGAATGTCTGTTTGCTGTAATAAGAACTAAACGTCATCAGATGTGATTATTAGCCCTCATGAAGCCTTATTTACAAAAATGTAGTTTGTTGGAACAGTCTGCTTTGTTTGGGTTTAAATCTGATTGGTTTTTGAAAGGTTTTACAGACAAAGACATAGATAAACAAGCTACACACTGATTTATTATGTTGGAAAGCCATGCTCAATCAGGCATCTACATTATAATGAAAACAAGCCCATACAGTTCGATCATTGGGCGGAGTAAGGCACACTGGGTCTTAAGAGTACATAGTCCAAAGGACAACCACATGAACATGGCTTCTATATGGTGATGTTGTCATTTTAGTTCATTTCCATTGACATTGGTTGCTAGAAGTTTTCAGTAATACATTATATGGCCAAAGTTTTTGTAGAGCCCTAACCATCACACCTTCTGTAAGGACAAAATTATTTGGGCCCTTCCTCAAATAATTGTGTTCATGTGTTTCCAATAAAAGCAACTGGTAATTCTATAGCATAGAAAGACATTTTACATATTTTTTGTGTACTTTCAACCTTATTGCATGGTTTGAGGAAGGCCCTTTTTCTGTTCCAGAAGGACTGTGCTACTGTGCACAAAGCCAGATCCATAAAGACATGGTTTTAAAGCTTGGTGTGGAGGAACTTGAATGGCCTTCATAGAGCCCTGTTCTCAACCCCACTGTACTCCTTTGCAATGAATCAGAACACTGATTGCAAGCCAGGTCTTTTCATTCAACGTTAGTATTTGACCTTATGATAGCTCTTTTGGCTTTATGGGCACAGTATTCCACAGGCATACGCCACAATTTTGTGAAAAGCATTCCTAAAAGAGTGTAGGCTGTCATAGCTGCAAACTGAGGAGAAAGGACAACTCCATGCTAATGCCCATGGTATTGGAATGGGATTTCCAAGCTCATATAGGTGTGACATTCATGTGTCCACATATAATGTGTATAACCTTGATGGTTGTGATTTAGGTACTGCAGATTCAGAAACAGTGCTGTCTATGGCATGACAGGGGGAGTTGCATACATTTTACCTACAAGGAATGTGATCAAGTTTAATTGACTATTTTTTCCTGCATAGAGTTCAGCAGATGGAGTGTTGTCACATTACTCAGCATAAAGCTAAAATAAAATGGTATGAAACTGGCTCCTCACTTCCATGGTCCCGTTAAGTTACCAGCAGGCAACTAGTACATACAAAATGCACTCGACATCTAATTTTTAAAACAAAAAAAATTATTCTGTACTTTTATGCTCTAAACATTAGTGAGCTCAACTCTTTTATGTACTGGAAGCAGTAATGCTTATGATGCATGCCACAATTTGTATTTGCTCATTTCTGTTAATCAATGTATTTGGCATTTTTTCTTACTAGGCCATGAAATACAAATATAAAGTAACATTTCGTGAACCAGACACATGGTGGAAATATAAACCCAGAGAGCTTGAGAGGTACGACTACTAATTGTGAATTTATTTTTTTTGTTCATGTGCTATGAGTGAGAACACCATATTCTTAAAGATGAACTCCTGGTAAATATAAAAACATCAGCTAATGCAATTAAAAGCAATATTTTAGTTATAGATGGAGCCTTATGGACTGTGTCAGTTCCTAGCATCTTAATGCCTTTGATACTTCAACAGCAAACTTCCCAAATCTGTTCCCATCTGCCTGGGAATTTTTGAATCTTTGAATGAAAACCCTCTTAATGGCTACAGTAGGTATACAGGCCCAGTAAATTGCGGTGCGGTGGTGTGAACTGTGCCCATCCATGACAAGGCAAATTGTGTTGTCTTGTATTGGGACTGCTCTGCAAAAAAGGGCCAGCGCAGGCCCAGCACATCTATTGGGAAAGGGCCCTTTATGTATTTGTATATGCAGCTTTTGTAAGTACCTAAAACTGTCCGATAATACCTTGTACAGCAACACTCAGACTATAAGATTGAGGTCTAGCACAAGGAGCCAGTTATGCTGTGTAGCAACGCATGTGTGCTGGCAGTGAACAACCTGATAGATAAGAAAGAGCAGTATGAGCATAAAGATGCCTCATCGCTTTGATGCTTCTCCTTTGTCCAGTCAGTAAGCTGGGTGGTTTGTCTGAGTCCTCTTGTAGTACAGTAGCCCTGCTGACCTGGCTGTGCTGCCTGGCAAAGGATGCCTGGATCATAAAAGCTGGCTGCAGAGACTTGGAAATGCTTTGGAAGTGAAAAGAGTAGCGTTGTATGGATTTTAATTCTTTATTTAGCGGTTTCTTGGACTTCAGCTTTAAAGGAATCATGCCCTGTATCTTTAAAAACTTTTGACCAAATATTCAAACTTTTTCCTGTATTCAACTTTTAACTTGCAGCAGAATGGCCTCCAAGTTAACATTGTGGTGGCTTTGAGGATGGGCAGGTATCCTACCGAGGACAAAAAATACAGTGCTCAGCATAAATGAGTATACCCCTTTTGAACAGTAAGATTTGAATCAGTATTTCAGTGAACACAAGTACAATTTGCAAAATTTGGCCAAAACCGAGTTTTATAGAACATTTGTTTAGCTCTTTACATGAACGTAAGGTCAATAATATAACTTAGATTACAGAATCTTCAGTTTTACTCAAATTAGGTGAAGCAAAAATGAATACACCCCACAAACAAAAACTACTTCATCTAGTATTTTGTGTGACCTCCATGATTTGTAAGGACAGCACCAAGTCTTCTAGGCATGGAATGAACAAGTTGGCGACATATTGCAACATCTATCTTTTTTCCATGCTTCAAGAACGACCTCTTTTAGAGCCTGGAAGCTCGATGGAGAGTGAAGCTCAACTTGTCTCTCCAGAATTCCCCATAGGTGTTCGATTGGGTTCAGATCAGGAGACATACTTGGCCACTGAATCACTTTCACCCTGTTCTTCTTCAGAAATGCAACAGTGGCCTTAGATGTGTGTTTTGGATCATTGCCATGTTGGAAAAGACGACCAAGGGCACGGAGTGATGGTAGCATCTGCTCTTTCAATATAGAGCAGTACATCTGTGAATTCATGATACCATCAGTGAAATGCAGCTCCCCGACACCAGTGGCACTCATGAAGCCCCACAGAAGGATACTGCCACGTTTCACTGTAGGCACCATGCATTTTTCTTTGTGCTTCTCACCTTTGCAACACCATACAGTTTTGAAGCCATCAGTTCCAAAAACATTGATCTTGGTCTCATCACTCCAGAGTACAGAGTCCCAGTAGTCTTCTTTTTCAGCATGTGTCTGGCAAATTGTAGGCGGGCTTTTTTGTGCATGGGCACAAAAAACGGACGACACCCATGCATGCCATCCCTCTGCAGTGTACGCCGTATTGTGTCACTGGACACAATCGCCCCAGTTTGGCTTTCTACTTCTTTAGCTATCTGCAGTGAACTTGCATGGTGATTTTCTTCAACATTTCTCATCAGAAGATGCTCCTGTTGATGTGTTAACTTCCATGTATGGCCTGGACGTCTCTGTGAGATGGTTGCAGTTCCATATTTGTTACATTTTTTGTAGCACTTTTGCTCCAGTATTCTGACTGATAAGTAAAGCTTTGCTGATCTTCTTGTAACCTTCACCTTTCTTGTGTAAAGAAATTATTTTCTTTCTCAGGCTTTGTGACATTTCTCTTCCATGTGGTGCCATTGCGGACAGCATGAAATGGGAACGGGTTTTCTTTGTTAAGTAAAACCCTTTTATAATTAACTGTCTGCTGGACACCTGTGTCATGAATCACTATACTCACCTGTAGTTGAATTCTTGTTAATTAGGATTTTGTTGTCTAAAATTTAGCTTTGCTCCTAAGACTTTCATTGGGTTGTATTTATTTGTGCAACATGGTCTTGAATGTATTTGTTAGGAAAAATACTTTTTTCTGTGTGCAAATTAAGAAATCTTGGTTGCATTCAATGACCCGCATTTGTGGGAGTATTTTGTAGTATAGTGTCCCATAAAAAATGTTGATTCTAAAAGATAAGTAAAGGTTTTCTGACAAATCTGTTGGGGTGTACTCATTTATGCTGAGCACTGTATGTATGGCCATCTCAAATTATAAGCAGAGCTGAGCTACACTTTTCTTCTTATGTTAATTGTTATTATAATTACTCATCAGGACATGTCCTCGATTTGCACTTAATAGATTCTCACATATTCTTGCCAAACGTGATTGTCAACCTAGAGTAACCCTGTTTTGTAATTCATAACATTGCAGAAAATGTGTGAGTCATTTTGATGAATAGGCTGTGCAGTTCATTCTTCATACCTAAGGTGGTTGATCAAGTTTTCTTTAACTTTGCGATTAATGGCTTCACCAGAAGACGATCAAAGTTTTGGTATGGCCCAGCCAAAAATCAGACCTCAGTCCAGTTGAGATCTTAAAATCTGTGGGGTGACCTGAAGAGGGCTGTGCACAGGAGACGCCTTCCTAATCTGACAGATTTGGAGCACTTTTGCAAGGAAGAGTTGGCAAAGATTCCCAAGACAAGATGTGCCATGTTGATAGACTCCTACCCCAAAAGATTGAATGCTGTCGTAAAATCAAAAGGTGCTTTAACAAAGTATTAGTTTCAGGGTGTGCATATTTATGCAACTATGTTATTTTAAGTTTTTTATTTTAATTTTTTTCCTGTTCAGTTTTTTTTTTTTATTGAATTGCACAGAATATAGGTCACATTAAAGGTGGAAACAATTCTGAAGTGATTTATCTTGGTCTAATTTTTACATGTAAAAACCCGGCATATTTACAGGGGTGTGTCGACGTTTGATATCCACTGTATCTATAAGTTGACCAAGTATATGTATTTCTTTATAGAAAAGTAAAGCCCTCCAGGGGGGGGAGGGATGAGTGAGAAATCTTTTCGGGCTACTTGAAGGTGCGACGCATGACGGTCATTTATAGAACACAGAGTCGGCGAGAGGCTGGTGAGGGGTAGTACATATCAATCCAGGGGGACCAGGTTTTTTCAAATTTGCCCATATGGTCTTTGAGTTGAGCTGTTCTCTTTTCCTGTGACATAACCCAATTGACGTGGGCAGTCACACTATGGATACTGAGGGGCTTCGTGAGCCAATTCTTAGCTATTTCACCCAGTATATTTTTTTTAAATACAGTATATCCTTTATTTATAGTAAATGTCCATCCCAGTCAAAATGTTTAAATCGGACTCAGAGTTGGAGAGTCTACATGAGCTACTGAATTGAGTGGAGCCATAGAGCATTGAATGAGTCAAATTCCTGTATGCAGTTTTGCCTTTCTTCAGCTCATTGGCTCATGCACATGAGTTTGTGCTGGAGGTGTTCAGACAGCACACAAAGTTCTGGTGGAGTTCAGATGTGTTTCTGGATATAAGGTTGATACCATACTAAAAGAAATTGGAAAATAGAATCTCTATCTGCAGTATAACATGTATATGTAACAGGGGTTACTGATGAAGACAAAAAGGTGTGTGCACAGATAATGAAACACTTTTACACAGTTTAAAACATCGTGCAACATGTTCTACTTGCCCAGAAAGCAAGATGGCCAGGTGTATCAGATAAGTGCATTGGAAGCCAATGATAGGTCAATGGTTCATTATATTAGACCTCCCTCCCACTGGTAAGTCTGTGTTCACTTCTGCTTGTTTTCAGTGTAGTGCTTTGAAAAAAAATGTTTGCTGCTTCTTTGATGTGGTTTTAAACACATGTAATGTAAAATGCACCTACAGCGTATCACCCCAAAAACGCATCAATGTGAATAGAGCCTCAAGCTGTTTCTTATCACAGACACTTATGTATTTTATCATTCATTTCTCATGTGGGCAGCAGCTGTTATAACCTCAAAAAGAAGTTTTATGTTTTAACTTGAATTATCCTAAAATTCAGTGTTTTTTACCCTTTTGTTTCGTAATGCAGTAAACTATTTTGAGTAGACAAATATTTAGATTAGAAGATTAAACCTGTTTTAAATATTCTACTTCATTCATGTCTTTTACATATACATGTTGTCTTACTGTCTTCTAATTTTATTGATCAATCTTTATTTCAAGGCGTAACAATCATGGTGTAAAGAAAGAGAAGATCATAAAAATGCTAGAAAATTTTGACCGTGTTACAGTGAACTCTATTTTAAACCTGTCAGCTGCAAAGAAGCCTGAAAGTGCTGGTATCGGTCAGCTAAAGCCAGATGAAAGAAATGGGTATGTTTTCATACATACAGACATACATGCAGTATTATAGGTGTACATCCATAATATTAATGATCACTGTTGCAAAAAGTTTTATTCTGAGAATTACTGTAAATGCAACTAATATAATGATAGTACTTAGAACAAGAATTATTATTTTTTTACACTCATGTTAACAGCACCTGTATACCAATCTGTCCAGCAAACTAACTAAACATAAGACAAATCGTAACCATGCCAGGACTGCTTTAGAGGTTGCAGAGGTTCTACCTTCTGTCACTGTGACTTTTCCTGGACAGCATGGGCTGCAAACAAATTTATAGAGAAATCTATAAATCATCTCGTGTAATACAAGTCTATTGACGTGTATTATACGTGAGGATGCTGAGGGACATACCAGAGCTGGAGTGGAAGGAGAGAGATCTGAGCAGTCACTGGTCCAGGTATGTATATCTTCTTTTTTTTTTTACACCCTAGGCCAAAATGAGCACTTAACCCTTGCAGTGCAGGGGTAGCACCACTACAAGGGTTAATTTTTTTAAACTGCCCGCAGTTCTTCTTTAAAGATTGTCAGACAATTTCAGCCTATTGGGGTTAATTTACTAAAGGAGAATAGGCTGTTTGCTTTGCAAAGCGTATGTTCTTTTAGCTTAGCAAATGAAGTAAAGCATTGTTTACTTTAAATACCCAATCATGCAAGGGGAATTATTCAGACAAACAAAGCTTTGCCACTTCTAGATAATACCAGAGCTTGCACTTCTCTTCCTTTAACATTCCTATTGGCCTGTAAGGTTGTTCATCATTCTGATGGGCCAGTAGGAATATGTAGGGGACCGGGCCTAAGGGCAAGCTCTGACATTACCTCGGTGCTTCACTGCTTTGCCTGTCAGAACTGCCTAGGACTTGGATTAGGTTTTGTATCAGTTTGTTTTTGTATTTCAGTTACAGTCTATTTAAATTTATAGTTTCATACAGTATACATTTTTAGTTAGCTATTATTTGCTATTTAACTATCCTATATGTTATGAATCTGAAATATTGTTATTGTGTTTAACTAATTAGGCCCAGCAATAACTTGGTTACAGAAGTTGATCTTGCTACAACAGAAGCCAAAATTCCTTCTAACTTAGAAGCAGCAGCAGCCAATGCAGATGAAAGCAACATCTTACATGAAGCAAGAAATGTTCCTGAAATCTCACTGAATGTATTAGAATCTAGAAAAGAAAACTTAAAGAATACAGATGACGAACTTGAAACATATTCAGATGATGATCAGTGCCTAGAAGATATTTCTATTGAAAATCGTCCTTACAGTATTAAAAATGTATCCACTGAAATATGTGCACAGGAGGTAATCACAGATGAAGAGGTTAATTTAGATGTTGGTTGCAATTCATCACAGATGGATGAAAGAAATGACCCTCTAAGTTTTGTTGGGGACTGGCCCGTGGAGCAAACGTTAACTCAGAGGGCACCAAGAAACAGAAAGAAGGCAAAGGCAAACTATATGTCTGTTCAGCACCTTGCTGAAGAAGAGGAAACTTTAGATTGTAATTTGGAGCAAATTGTTGTCAATCCTGAGCCTGCTCCAAAGGAAGAAGTTGCTTCCTTAAAGACCAACTTTGAAACTGAAGCTTCTGTAGTCAGTCATTGTGATGGAACAGACTTACAAAAATTAGAAAACCAATTATATGCAATTCCTGCTTATATTAACAATGAAAATAAAGCTTTGGCAGAACACAAGGCCAGTGCCTCTGGTGTTACATCCTCTGAAGTTCTACAGAAAGACCTGCCAGTTGCTGTAGAGAATATAAATCTAGATATTTCAAGTGTTACAGCAGATGTGGAAGTAATGACAAGACCAAGCAAAAGCAGTAGTAAAAAATGCCATTTGGCTCTAACCTTTAGTAATACTTGCTCCAATTCCTTCAGGACTGATGGAACGGTATCTCCATGTAACTTGATAGAAGCTGTAGACCATAGTAGTGCTGGAATCATTGCATGCACTCAGACTGAACCTCATGAATTTGCAATAGCATGGAGAGTAGAGAAGAGAAACATGGAAGTCCTAGAGTCTTTAAAGGTTCTTACAGGAAAAGCTGATAGATTTAAATCACAGCCTTTACAAACTAATGAATACTCTCAAGAAAATATACCTTATAGAATGATGCATCACAAAAGTACCTTTGTAGCAGAAGATGACATAATATGTCTACAAGATGAAGATAGTCTGCAAATTCTTTGTAAGTTGTTTAGGTCCCTATCTTTTGATGTGCTAAAAGATCTTTTTGAAAGGTGCAATAAAGATCTGGAATGGGCAACAAATTTGCTTCTTGATTCTGGAGAAAAAATATATAAAGATGAATGCGATCAAGAAGAATTGTTAAAACCTGAAGAAGAAAACTGTGAACATTTACAAAATGATGGCCACTTAGAGGAAGGGACTATATATCCTGATGGCTCTCTGCCAACTGATTCTGAACTAACTGAAGAACCGTCTGCAGAATTTAAATTGAATGATAACAGTATTGAAGACAGCAGTGGCATAGCTTTGGTTAATTGTACTCCTATTAATAATGTGTCCCTAGTTGTTGCTGACGAGTTAAAGAATAGCAATGTGTTATCATCTGCTGAAGTGAATGGAATTGCTAACCAGTGCATGATACTGGACAGTGTTCAACCTGACCAAGACACAGTACCGGATACTACTGAAGCTCATATAATGTGGTCTTCCAGTTTAGAAGGGGGGCAGTTTAATTCTCAAGATTCAACTGTCAATATGAATATTGAAACCAATAATATCTTAAATGAGAAAACCATCAAGAAAGAAAGTATCCAGGAATTTAATTCTCCTATTGATGAAGTGCTATATGAAACTGGTGACAGTCAAGGTGATATCCCAACAGATGATTTGTACAAAGATCAAGAAAATACTGACGTGTTACCTGGAATTGTAGAGAAACCACAAAATAACTCCTTTTCACAGCCCAAGGAGCCCCTAAAATTTGACTATTTAGAATTATCTTTACCTCCGGAGCTTGCCTTCCAACTCACTGAATTGTTTGGCCCTGTTGGAATCGATCCAGGTATGATTACAGTAAGACTATGGACAGAAATGTTTTGCCTTTCAGTAAATTACAGTTTTCATTTTATTTTATAAGATCATATCTTACTTTGCACTCTGATGTAACACCATGACAGATAGAAACCTGTGATTTGTGGCATAATTGCCATTATCCAATGTGACTCAACACTTAGACATATATGAAGGTAGTTAAAGAATTCATTGAATGTCAGATGAGCAGATGGATCTTTGCCTAAATGGGATGCCCACCTAAAATTGAGGAAAATGCCAGTGGGTTGATTCTCTAGTGTTTTCTTGGGGATTCTGGCAGTACGATCTTTGCACCCAACTTCTTAGTTTTGACCACCTGCAGTGACTATTATAAGGGAGTCCAAATGTCTAGCTCTCGGATTGCACGTATTGTAATGTAAAAAAATAATGTAGATGGTTCTATGGATGAATCAATTCAAATATTCTGCCGAGTGTCTTTCTTGTACACTTCCCTCACTTGCCCTGTAGACGTGCCTGGACCGGAGGAACGTCACATTCTGGCACCCCAAATGCACTTCTGGCTCACAGTTCGATCACCCACACCAAAATGCACGGTACCGCAATGCTGTGTATTCTAGTGCGGTGCGACTTAATGACCAGGGACAACTGTCAGTCCTGAGGTTACACAGGTTGAGAACCACCCTTAGATATTGCTTTATTCCCATGAAAACTTTGCTCCATTTTGGAATAGCCATATTGTGATGTTAAGGCCTACCAGCTCTGTCATTGGGCACTGCTCTTTATATGGGTCAATGACTGCTCTACGGAGTTTTCTAGAGAGCATTGAGAGTGAATGACAGTTAAGCTTGTCTTTCCTGCTGCCAAAATACAAGTTTTAGGGGGGTACATAGGACTTGACATTTGTAGGAAATACATTAAACCATAATCACTGGAAAAACCAAGTACATTGTGTCCCTTCTCAACCCTCCAATTACCCAGCATTATGCTTATTATTAATTTGTAGGCAGGCTTTAGCTGTGATCTGTAACTCTGTTTATTTCCTTGCAGGCTCTCTAACTATTGAGGATTGTTTGGTTCCTATAGACCTTAAATTGGCGGAAGCGATTCATAAAAAGTGGAAACAATCAATAATGGTTAGTTCCTATACACAATTTATGCAGTAAATATTTGTTTACCAAAAAATGACCAGTGCCAGGCTCCAGTTGCTGAGAACAAAGGTATCACCCTGCATTGATAAGAATAATCATCAATCATAAAGTTAGGGGGCAAGCTCTTGGTCATGATGCTCAACCCATTTACTCCATGATATAACAATGTTATATTTTAGAAATAGTGCATTCTATTCTATGATTTTTTTTATTTTTTTTAACTGATACTGGAAAATATTTTGAAAGGATACATTAGAATTCTATAGCTACTGCATTATGTGTATCAGTTTAATAGTGTAAACATTTAAATATTACAGAAAACAAATGAGGATAACATGAAATAAAAATCAGAAAGGGTACTATGTACACTGTAGTGTGTGGGTTGCCCAAAAGTCTTTAAAGTGACATTAAAGGCAAAAATGTCCCCCCCAATGCTAGTGTAAGGACTTATTTCAAATGATGCCTTTTGATCCGATCATCTTCTTTACAATAGTTTTCAGGAGTCCCTCCAGCGCTGGTGCCGGTCTCTGATCCAGTGCTGACTCCTCTCTCTTCCTGTCCTATGGAGTCTATGTGGTTGCACGCTGCTGCACTAACTTACCCTGTGTCTCTCCTCTTCTCCCGGCCGAAGATCTGTACTGTGCATGCGCCCGCTCTATGATCCTTTGCGGCCGCCCAGGAATCTTCAGATCTTCGGATGGGAGCGCGCGGCGGAGAAGCAGGTAAGTTTAAACCCTTTTGAAAAGGTTTTTTTTTTCTTTTTTAATGTTTTTGCATGTATCTACTGCTTGCTAGCAGTAGATACATGCAAAAACATGCAAGGCTTTAATAACCCTTTAATGGAAAAAGTCATCTATCAATATTGCATTATAGAAACCAGATCAGATTCACTGTAAAACAGGAGTTAGAAAATGTAAATTGCTGTTTGACAATACAGACAGTTCTCTGTTCGCTGCCTCTGATGCTTTTCTTTATGATGATGGGTGCTTGAAGTATTTTAGTTGCTTATGTGTTTTTGTTTAAGTGCTTAATTCATTTTATTCCTCAGGAGAGGCATAACCAAGAAGCATTATCCTATCAACTCCTGCTTGGAGGTATTCATATTTTATTTTAAACATTCATGTAAAGTTGGTTTCATTCTACTTAGACAGATAATTGTCTTCTATTATAATTGGAGTAGAAGGTATTGCAGTCTAAGACATGAGTAATATGGGAGCTAAGAGCAGGTTCATTCCTCTAGGGTCAGAATACTTGTACCTGGTTCATTCTGAGTTTCTTGAAACTTCCGTGAAGTGCAATGTAGAAAATCCAATTTAAAACGTTTTATAAAAGTCACATGGTGCTCTGTGCTTTTACTTTTCATGTGAATCTGTGTTTTAAAACTGAACTCCAGGCTAACCACTAAATATGCAGATGAACCGACATATTTGAGAGCCGTTAAACATGCCAAAGGATTTTTATTTCTGTCCATCCAATGCTGAGATTTATACAGCTTTTCTCCACAACATAGCCTCGTCTAGCAGGGGACGGGACCGCCATCCTTCTCTGCTGCCATTTTACTTTAATTTACAGGTCTCCTCCCCACCCCTACCCTTTGACTGGTTAAGGAGAAGCACCACGCTGATGAGTTTATTTCTGTATATCTGGTCTCTCCTTCTATCACATGCTCATTGTAATGCACTTGAATGTCGTCTTGTACTGCTTCTCCCTCCCCTTCCCTGGGCTCTGCTGTACAGACTGTGTATAGTAGATAGCAGGAGGCTGATACCAAGTCATATTTTATTAATTTGTTATTCTGTACATTTTATATCCGCCGGGGGTTCAGTTTTAATTGCCATTTTTGTAAACCTTCGATCTGTTTAATATGCAGTGTCACTGTTTCCCAATGTTGAAGTCCTGATGGTGTTATCATGACTTACAAATCAAACAACTTTTTTTGGCAGACTTTTCAACAAATGACCACATCATACTGGACAGTCTTCTTCAGGAACAGGAGTCTAGGCTGGCTGGACATAATTTAGTTGTTACACAGAGAGAAAAAGACATGTTTCCATTCTTGGACCAGTGGAATACCAGAACAAAAAAGGTTTCCCTGCGGCAGATCATGTCAGAAGAAATGGCGTTACAGGCTCGGGAAGATTTGGTATGTGGATTTAAAGATCAGTTTTCCCAAAAACTGATATCTAATTTTTGATCGATGTAGTACAGGTAAAGTGTACAGGTAAAGTGTATATCAAGCCAAAACAATTTTTTTGCATAAAGTAGGGAACCCCTATCAGGTTATTGTTTGCCATGCAAAAATTTCCTTCTACTTACTGTCCTGGAGACACAACAGAAAATAAAAGGAAATCTCCCCAAATTGGGGGAATATCTATCCTAGACTAGCCACACACATACCACAGGCTATATGGTAGAGAAACAATACATTGCCCCATGCACCCTAAACAGTGCGAATAGAGGATTCTGAACTGCTGCTGTTCTATTTAGGCAGCTACAGCAGCCATGGCTTCCTGAACACACAAACAGTGAGTGCATCTGATATTTGCACTCACATGATAAAATCAGAATTTTTGGCTAGAAAACAGCTTGAAAGTAGAGGCCCCGTGGAATAAAACAAATGCTAGTTGCCATTTTTTATGTTGCACGGTATTTGCAAGAAGAAATTAAAAGATAATAGATAAGACAATAAAAGATGGGGCTGTGTCCGGTAAGTAGATACCAAACATGTCAAGTCTTAAAATTGCTTGCGCCAGTAAAATGGGAAAAAATTACAGTAGTCGAAACTGCCCATAGGTGACACTTTTAAAGCCTTTACCACTTGTCTAATTAGGGCTAACAGTGATTGATGGCCCTAGGATTATTCCTTTCTGACCTTCGCAGTGATATGCAATGTGTTACCCAGTCAGATTAATCGATGATTGAAAATGTTGACAACTTTTTCAATCATCGATTATAATCGACTTAGTCGATTAGTTGTTGCAGCATTCCATTCATCCCCGATTTCTGGGGACAGTCCCCGGATTGAGGAGACCGTCCCCTGACAAATTATGTCCCTGGGAACATAAAACAAACCAATTTTTTTTTTTAATACTCACCTGATCCCTGGATCCACCTCCCATCTCCCACGCTGTTAGAAGCTGCATACAACGTGTGCTGGTTACTACTTAAACCAGCGCGCTGTGTGCAGCTTCTGAGAAGATACGCTATTAGCGTAGCGAGGAAGCCGGCTGCACATTTTGCCCGCTGCGCATCCCGCTAAGCTAATAGCGTATCTTTTTAGAAGCTGCACACAGCACGCCGGTTTAAGTAGTAACCAGTACACGCTGTATGCAGCTTCTAACAGCGTGGGAGACGGGAGGCCGCACTTTTGGTTGATGCAGGAATCGGGTAAATATATAAAAAAGGTTTATTTTATGTTCCTGGGGATAAAATGTCCCCGGATTTTGTTTTAAAAATG